TATATATATATATATATAATTTCAGGTGCAATCAACACCCAAACCCCTGAACCCGGGCCCATATAAGATATATAGATCATTCCCTCCGATCCGAACCCGCAACCCTAAACTTCTTCAACTCATTCACGCACCCTCTCAGTCAGGGTGCCGCGGCATGTAGGATGGCCGCCGGGCGGAGGCCATGGAAGCTCTCCGGGAAGGAGCCTCGGCTGCTTGAACGTATGATGGGTTTTATGTTTAGGGCTTAAGGTTTAGGGTTTTTCGGTTTAGGGCTTAAGGTTTGGGTTTTATCGGTTTGGGGTTTAAGGGTTTGGGGATTATCGGTTTAGGGTTTAAGGGTTTGGGGATTATCGGTTTAGGGTTTAAGGGTTTGGGGATTATCGGTTTAGGGTTTAAGTAGGGTTTGGGGATTATTGGTTAGGGTTTAAGGTTTAGGGTTTTATCGGTTGAGGGTTTAAGGCTTAGGGTATAGGGTCTAGGGCTCAGATCGGGCTTGTATGCGACATGTTGGGGATTATCTATAATAGAATTTGTACGCGTGTATGTGTATATATATATATATAATACATACCTACATGCTTGCACTACTTGGGGATGAAATTGAGTTTCTGGGACATGTTAGGGGACTTTGCGCCCCACCGCCCTGTAAACCTCAGAGCACTCAGGTCTGCTTTGAAACGAGTGGATCATTGTCGTAAGCCCCCCAATAAAAGAAGCGTATACACGCATGAATGCTACATGCATATGTACGTTGTAATTTACATACATACATACATACATACATACATGCATACATACATGTTTGGTTGTTTGGTACTTCCGGTTGTTTGTTTCCTCCATTTCTTCTCTACCTATTTGCTAGTTCATACACATACGGTCTCATACAGTAATATAAAGAGCCACTTACAGAGCCACAATACACTAACCCATGGGAGAGGCGCGCAAAAAGTGTCACCCTTTGGAAATCTGGAAACGCCTCGGCATGGACTGTGCTCCTAAAGCATAAAGCCTCTTTATAAGAGCCAGGGCCCGGACGCTGCCGTTGATGCATCGAACAAAGCCGTAAACCCTACCCGGACCCTAAAGGACCTGCCTTCTTAGGGTTCCATCATGATTCCTTTATATTAAGTCCTGAAAAAGGTAGGTTATTTGGGGTAAAGGTAGCAAAGGTAGGTTATTTGGGGTTGAGGTAGCAGCCCCTCGGCCATGCATGAACCAGGGCGCTGCCGTGGATGCTCCGGAGAGCAGTGGCAGCGCTCCGTTGGCGTCGCAGGCGCCGCAGAGGCGGATGCCGTTGCGGCTCTGCGGTTCGTGGAGGTTCCGAGGGAGCCAAGAGTTAAAGGAAACTACAGGTGGGGAATTTTTTTGGTATATAGGGCTTCTATAAGGCTTCTATGAGGCATATAGACCTTCTAAAGGGCTCCTATAATGGTAGCTACCCCCCTGAAACTGTCCTAGAAAGAGGCCCCTTTTCTACGGAGCCCTCAACATGTTGTAGGTTTTGCAAGTTTACACAATGTGAACCTCTTTTCCCAACAAGAATGCAACCCTTAAATTAGAGGTGCACCCGCCAGAGGCAGATGGGAAGCCCACACCCCTAACCCAAACCCTACACGCTAGCAGGGCTATAGGGTTTAGGGTATACGCTAACGTAAACCAACTCCGCAGTTTGCACCCTTCGACCCAGCCCCAAACTTCGGGATTAGTTCAATCTTTAAGTGTCAGAAAAGTTAGTGACAGTATTCTCTGCTTGCTTCGTCCCTCTATTGGTACTTTGCGGTCAAGGTAGATACTGCATGGGTACCTGGGGGCTTTGGGATGCAGGAAGCCCTACACCCGACGGCACCTACACCCTAAACCTGTGTAGTACCCTTATAATAGTATCCCTTAAAGGACGCCTATAAAGGAACCCTGCTTGGAGGTTCACGGGTAGTTATAAGTAGAGTTATAAGTTTCCTCGTATGGGTTATAATTATAATAACCCTACTTATAACCCCACTTACAAATACCAATGAACCTCCAAGTAATCTAATTTTGAAGGCACCGTATAGTACCCTTATAGTAGTATCCCTTAAAGGAAGCCTAAAAAAGGCTTATAATAGTATCCCTTAAAGGAAGCCTACAAAGGCTTATAATAGTATCCCTTAAAAGAAGCCTCCCTTAAAGGAAGCCTATAAATCAACCCTAGCCTAATTTAGAAGGCACCTGCCCCAAAGGAAGGCACGTCATGTCCACGGCATCCTGGCGACTTGGAGCTCGGCGTTTGGCAGTGAGGGCTCGGGGTCTTCCTGGGGGGTCCAAACCCCTACTGCTTTGAGCTTATAATAAAGTTTAGGGTTCAGGGTTTAGGGGTTATATCCCTATAATTCTATAACTGTACAAGGACTATACAGGGGCAGGGATTGAGGCTTACGGGGTTTAAGGGTTTAGGGTTTAGGGGTTTAGGCGGTTTTAGGGGCTCAGGCGGCTTTAGGCGTTCGTGGGTTGAGCTTCCGGGTTAGCGCTTAAGGTGGAGAGGTTAGACTGTTACAAGGGTTTAGGGTAGGATTTAGTGTCAAGACTTCCGAGGGATACCTTAACCCCAACTAACCTACCTTTTCATGCACTTATATAAAGAAATCATAATGAGGAACCCTAAAAAGGCAGGTTCTTTAGGGTCCAGGTAGGGCCTGATAGGGTGCAGGGGTGGAACTACGAGGATCATCCCGAGCAGCATCATCTGCAAAAGGCAGCTCCTATCATGCTTGCTCTGCTTGCTACTTGGAGGACCATGGGACTTAGTAAGTAAGGTTTTAAGTCCCCTAATTGGGGTTATAAGTATAGTTACCTTACTTGCTAAGTCCCATGATCCTTTAAGTAGTCGCCGTCAGCCTGTAATGCCTGACGAATAGGAGAGGGCCGCAGCAGGCTTTGGGGATTACTAGGACTACTATACTATACTTATCTAGACTTAGGTAGAGAGTGGAAGGGAAACTTGATGATGACGAATGGTTCCGACCCCTATAACGTGTAGTAATCTAGGTTTTGCAACAGATGCACTGGAGGGTAGGCGGGACTTCTGGCTTAGGGTGTCTCGAGGTTTGGGCTGAGGGTTGAGGGCCCGGGGCTTGGAATTTAGAGCTTGGTTCAGGGATAGGCTTAGCAGGATCCAACGTCGTGTTTCGCCAGCAAAGCTTCAACAAGACTGGACGGACAGACGAATAAAGTCTCAGCAACCTGACAAACAAGCCAACACTATTGCAACAGTGTTGGTGCGAATATGTTCTCGCTGCATTAGTTGAACTATAAAGGCAGATCCATAGATAGGTAGATAGGAAAAGGTACGTAGACGGACCTTGACTTTGTGGTGCATGTTTATGGATAGCATGGCTACACCCGCGGCTGACTACAGCAGTAGCCCAATAGTAGTGCTTCAACCCTAAACCCTAAACCCTAAACCCTAAACCCTAAACCCTAATCCTATCCCCAGTAGTTGGGGACCCAGACCCTCTAGGGACTTTCCTGTAACCTGGACACTACAAAGGAGTGGGTAAACATAAGCCCCATCGTTGACTTGCACTGCTTTAGCTGTAAAAGTCCTAAACCCCTGAACCCTAAACCCCTAAACCCTAAACCCTAAACCCTAGAACCTAGACCCTACTTGGAGAATCATGGGACATCGCAAGTAAGGTCATAAGTTCCTTAATTGGGGTTGTAAGTACTGGCAAGATATCTACCTCAATTGCAACCCTAGTTACTAAGTCTCATGACCCTTTGAGTAAGCCTTATAACCCTCAACCTTAACCTCGTAAATTCCTTGTATAACCCTGGTATATATATATATATAGATAGACCCTTTTCAAGGAACCTCGAAAGACCCTAAAATAGGTGCCGAGACGCGGGAGAGAGCGGCACCTTCGGAGCGCAGTTGCTGCAGAGCCTTCCGAGAGACTCCAAGACCCCTTAAGGAATGTCCCTCTAAGGGGTTTAGGGTTTAGGGTTTAGGGTTTTAGGGTTTAGGGTTTAGGGCTTAGGAATATCCCTCTAAGGGGTTTAGGGTTTAGGGTTCCTTTGAGGTTTCCTCAGAGGGATCTCTAAGGGTTCTATACGGGGAGTGAAGAAATATATCTCTTACATGAGCATAGGAGCCCGAATATGATTTGAGGGACTTTCCTCAAAAAAAGAATCCTTTCCTGGCTTCTCCGGCCCAAGCGCCAGGGAGGCGAGGCATTTACAAAAGGTTCTAGAGGGGTTCGGGATCAGGGGTGGGGTCGCGGGTCTTGAAAAGGGTGTTATGAGCATAGATACAGACAAGAGGTGCCGGATTTAGAAGACAACTGTGGCAGGAAGCCCGAAGTACTCTTCGCAAAGGCCTCGAGGGTGGGGCTTGGGGTTCTGGGTTTCGGGTTCAGGGTCTCCCTTGGGCTTACAAAACATGCGTTGTTGAGGACCTCTATTTTGTATTCGGAAATCATTCTAAGGAACCCTTAGAAATATAGATTATGTAGCGTTCGGGTTAAGGGTAGAGTGTCTGGGATTTCGGGTCTGTCGTTGTTGCAAGGCCACAACGCTAGACGGTTTCGGAGAAAGAACTTACGGTTTAGGGTTCAGGGTTTAGGGTTTAACATCTGCGTTAGGGTACTTTACTTGTGTCTTCGCGGAGTCAAGACTCAATAATCAAGCTGACGGGTTTAGGGTTCCTTGTTGATTCAAACGTCTATGCTGCTGCACATGGTTTAATGATAATCCACTTGTGTATTGGCGACGCGCTTGTGCACTCCCCCTACACCCAAACCCCAGAATTCAAGTTCTGAATTGCTAAACCCAGAGCGAGAATAACTAGCACCTATGAACCACCAAAAACCCTAAGCCTAAGGCTGTAAACTTTAAGCTTTCACCTGCGAGGCCCCAGCTGTCACCTGTGTACCCAAACCCCAGAGTATGGTAGAACATGATGCCGTATGTGTGGGATATAGTATAATTGGGTTCTTGGGTACTGAGGAAAGCCCCTAAACCCTAAACCATAACCCTCCCTAAACCCTAAACCCTTGAACCCTAAACCCGTAAATCCTAAACCCTGAACTCTAAACCCTAAACCCTTAAACCCTAAATCCCTAAACCTTTAAGATCTTGGGCTGATGGATATCTAGCTTCTCGGCCCAGCCACAGACGTCCGCAGGCCCGGCAATGATGACGCCGGCGGAGAATCCCGAACTCCTGACAGCGGTACGATACCCAAAGGAACCCTAAACCCTAAACCCTAAACCGTACCCAAAGGGTCAAAACTCCTTTAAGAGGTCTTTCGGGGTTCCTTTAAGGAGTCTTTCGGGTTCCTTCAAGGGGTCCTTAAGGATTCCTTAAGGGGTCTTTAAGGGTTCCTTTATTATAAGGGTACCCAAAAAGTATACATAGGTAGTTCTCTAAATTAGGGTCCCTTTTAGGGTTCCTTTCAGGGATCTATAAGGGTTTCTATAAGGGTGCTACAAGGATTTTGTAAGAGTGGTCCTCAAAATTTGGTCCCTTTAGGATCCTCTTTATTATTCGGGTGCCGTACTATACTGGGGAGCTAAAAGGGACCTACCCCTGACCCCTACACCCTACAGGTGCCCCAAAAGCAGCTTGGGGAGCTACACCACAACCCTTTAGGGAACCCCTCATTAAAGGAACCCTGCGCTAGTTGCAGAGGCTCCTGGCCCCAAACACTCAGACTCTAGGGACCCCTTAAAACGGACCCAATTCTAGTTATTGGGGCTTGAAGAAATTCTGAACCCTGGACCCAAGACCCCTAAGCCCTAAACCCAAACCCTGAACCCAAAACCCAACACCCAAAACCGGAAATCCTACCCTGCCTGCCTTGCCACACTCCATGCACACTTCCGACGCATCATTGGGAACCTTGCGGGTCTTCACTTTATGGCTTAGGGGTTTGGGGTTTAGGGTTGTAGGATTTCGGGTTTGGGATTGAGAGTTTCGGAGTTAGGATTTTTAGGGTTTCTGAATCAGAGCTAAAGTTTAGGGTTTATTGTTTAAGTGTTCGGGATATGCGTTGTTCGTAACACGTGCTAGCCCATTCCCCCCACCACCCGACCTATCCAGAGCCTGAAGGGGTCAATAGGGCTTAGGGTGTTCCTTACACTACCATGACCTACGTCTTTGTAGGCCATTTTCAGAAATCCGAAGATGGACCGCACGGGGGCCCTTCAGCAAGTAGCGGCCCACTCTTTTTCAGGGACCTATCGGCCGATCGGCTGTTGCGCATTGAAAGGTTTGAGGACAGAGGATGAGAGGGGATCCATCAAAACCCTAAACCCGACACCCTAAAACCTGAACCCTAAACCCTAAACCCTAAACTTTAAAACCCTAAAACCTGAACCCTAAATCTAAACCTTGAAACCTGTTGTTCAATATTTCTTCGACAGCTTCTGGTGCCAAAGCCAGAACCCGAGGTTTGAACTGTCCGGGAAATGGTCGATAACGTCACAAAAGAACCTCCAAATTAGGGTCCCTTTCTAGGGTTTAGGCTTTAGGGTCTAAAAGTTAGGAATTAGGTCCCCCCAAAAGTACGGCACCCGTATAAAAAGGACCAATTTAGAAGGACTCTATAATGTAGAGAACTATGCATATCCTAACCCCGTATAATCCCTGAAACCCGTGAGCCTAGAACCTAATCCCTAAAACCACTAGGAGCACTAACCCTGCTTGGAGGATGATGGGACTTAGTAGGTAAGGTTACAAATTACAAGTTATCAGTATGTTACTTGGGCTAATAAGGAAGCACAAATAGAGTTAACCTCTGATTTTTATAACCCTCGTGACTAAGTCCCATGATCCTCCAAATAGTTTTATATGTCAGCCTTGAGCATCTCAAGGGAACAAAGCCCGCTGCGGGTCTAGGGTGAGTTGAGGGCACCCGCCTAGCCCGAGTCTGACAGGTTTAGGGTAAATTCTTCGTAAAATCTCCCAAACCTCTCAACCCCACCCTACGGCGCCTGGAATGTTTGGTGAGATTCCACATGAATCCAAAACCTAGCCCCCAAAGCCCAAACCCTCACCCAGAAAGACCAAGACCCTCTTAGGAGCCTTTGGGTATACCCCAAGTCCTCAACCTTAATCTGCGCAGCACAAATGCCCAAACTGCTGCGCACTTACTGAACCCTAAACCCTATAAACCTTGCCCAAAAGCCTAAACCCCAAACCAAAAGCCCTAAACCCTAAACACCAGACTCTGAACCCTAAACCCTAAACACCAGACCCTAAGCCCTAAACCCTAATCTGTGCAGCAAAGGTACCCAAACTGCTGCACACTGGATGGGCTCCGGGGCGTCATGCTCGAGCGCTCGGCCAATCGCCTTGGTAGTCGCAGGGTTTCGGTTTTTTGGGGGCTTTTCGGGGGTTTAGGACTTTGTGGGTTTAGGGTTTAGGACTTTGTGGGTGTAGGGTTTAGGGCTTAGGACTTTGAGGGTTTAGGGTTTAGGACTTTGAGGACTTTAGGATTTAGGACTTTGAGGGTTTAGGGTTTAGGACTTTGTGGCTTCCCTTAAGGCCTACAGGCTCCTAAGAGGGGTCTTGGGCTTTCTGGGGGAGGCTTTCGGCTTGGGGCGAAAGTTCATCCCAAATCCCCGTGTCCCAACATAGAAGCCCGCTTTCCGCTCTGCAGGTACATAGGATACGTCATTATGCCAAGACGTCAACCCTAATTTTCAGAAACAGTTGCAAGAAAGCGTAGAGGAACCTTTAAAGGAACACTCCAAGGAATTGTTGAAACGAATCCCTAAAAAGAAATCTTGGAACGAACCCTTAGCGGAACCTTTACAGTATAGGAGCAGCACCAGAATTCCTGAAACCAACCCTTGAAATGCTTCAAAGGAGCTCTTATGACAAAGCACTAGGGAACCCCAAATCCCTATAGAACCCCTAAGCCCTTAACCACAAAATCCCTATGTACAGTACCCTTAAAGGAACCATAAACCCTCGTACAACACGTACCCAGACTCGTTGAAAGATCCAAAAGCTGAGACCCCACGAGGGGATTCCTATACAGTACCGCTTAGGGTTTCAGGGTTTAGGGATTCGGGTTTTAGGGTTTAGGGACTCGGGCTTTAGGGCTGTAGAGTTTTAGGGATTTAGGAGTTTAGGGTTTAGGACCCCAAATTAAATTAAGGGTTCTACGTTTCTAGATCCTCCCGCGGCGGTCTGGGTATAGACCGTCGGCCTCAGGTGAACAAATCTAACTCTACAGCCCCAGACCTAAACATTCACACACCCTATAAACTTGTGAAGCGCTGTTGGGTTTAAGGATTGCGTCCTGGGGCTTTTCCGGGCTCCTTTAAGGGATCTATTAGGGTTTAGGGTTTAGGGTCTACCGGCTTTTGAGGGTAAGTAGGCTCTAGGAAGAGATAGAAACGTGTCCTTGCTACATGTGTACTTGCGGACTGCTTCCTCCCATCCTTTCGCTGAATGGTCACCCTGCGCTAGACTTGTCTTATGCTAACAATATCAGCAGCCACGACGACCTGCACCACATAAAAATACACAACACATTTCGCAAACTGACTTCCTTGCCACCCGCTCGAACGCAGATTCGGGTCAAGGGGCTAGTAACCCCCTAAACCCTAAACCCTAAACCGTATCATGTTCGACAGCCAACCGCATGCATGGGATTCCAAAATACCAACTGGACTCAGCCTAGAAACCTAGTTAAGCCCTCAACGGCAAACCTGAAATATCCCAAAGCGCCCAAACCTGAAACCCGAGCCCCCTCTTACCTTTTTCGGCTCTTGGCTAGTTCCAATTCAAGCTGCTTGGTCGAGCTCCTTTGCGAGCTCTTTCACCTCAGCTTTTGTTGTTGTTTGTGTGTGTGTGTGTGTGTTTTTTTGTTTGCTTGCTTGTTTGCTCCTTCGCTTGTTCGTTTGCTTGTTCGCTTGCATGCTTGCTTGCCTCGTGTTTGTCTGTTTTTGGAGCTTTGGGGCTTGAGGGCTGTGGCTCAGCGGACCACGCAGCTTGCGCCAAACCTTCTAACCCCTGCTGGCAAGCACAAACCTCTTCCTCAGGGTTTAGGGTTTAGGGTTTAGGGCTCAGGAACGGGACCCCCTTTGAAACCACTGAATTCCTCGCGAGATGCACACAGCAGAATGCTACTGAGCACCAACAACAGCACCTCCACACCCTAAACCAACAGAAACAACTAAACCCTAAGCATAAAATCTGAACCCAAACTAATATTCTAAATCAGAGAACCTAAACCCAAACCAATACCCTAAACCCGAACCGCCCCGGAGCCCAAGCCTCAAAATCTACTTCCTGCATCGCCAGGCACCATGGCAGTCTCTGAGGAGCTTCCGGGTCTCTGGAGGGACTGCAAAAAGCTAGCATCCTGGGCAGTTGGGTTTAGAGCTTAGGGCTTTAGGGTCTTAGGGTTTAAGGTTTAGAGTTTATGGGTCTATGGGTTTATGGGTTTATGGGTTTCGGGTTTATATTGGGGTTTAGGGCTTAGGGTTTGGGGTTTAGGCTTTCTCAAAGCCTAAACCCCCAAAGCATGTAATGTAAGGGCTTTCATAGTTAGAATAGCGTCTTGAGCTCGTTCACAATGTAAGTAGAACAAGGAACCCTAAGCAACCTAAGCCAGAAAACACAAAACACAACCCTTTCAATCCTATGAGCCTATCGTAGTGTTCGGGTGTACGATCACAGTACAATTAATGTAGAGACTGGATGCGTTGTTCGGCGCTATGCTGCGCCGTAGGCTCACTTGCTGCAGGCTTCGAGTTCACACCCCAGCCGGGCTTAGGAGGTAAGTCGTACTTAAAGGATCATGGGACCCTCTTAAGTAGGGTTATAAGTTATACATCCCTTAATTGGGGTTATAAGTATATAGTTACCTTATGTCATAACCCTACTTACTAGGTCCCACGATCCTTTAAGCACCCAGAGAGCCCAATGCCTCTTAATTTAAGGGGTAGTTGCGCTACATGACAACATTAACACCCGTGCAGGTGAAGGGGTACTGGGCTGTCCGGGTACTCGGAAGGGGATCTAAGGGACTTTGGGTTTGGACGCGCAGACTATCCCGAAACCCGAAACCCTGTATGCCCAACTACCGGAAAGGCCTAAGAGAAGATACCAAAGTTCAAGGAAATCCCGCAACTCAATAGAACCCCCCGATATGGTAGGATTCTTACTAGAATGGACCCCATGGCTACTTCAACCCCCAGTAACGTAGGAACGAAAAGCGTTATTGGTACTGGGTGCTTTGGTACGGAACCTAGGACCACCAAAAGGGACCCAGGGCAGGCTGGCAGACTTACACTAAACTGAAGACAAGAACTGAACTCTTTTCGAGCGGCGCCCTGCAAACGCAGCTTTCGTCGAAGCAGGAGGCTAGGAAAAGCGTTGGGGTCCTGGTTCATTCTCCCAAAGGATCTTAAGTACATATGGGAAATAACTTACCCGAAAGCACATATACTCGTAATTCCTACTGTAGAAACCCTACGTTCCACTGCGTAAGTACTTCGGACCCTTAGGGTCTTGAGGGGTTCTACAAAGGTTCTATCATTGCTTTTCCCATTGAAGATTGGGAATCCTTTTCAGGGGGGCCATTAAAGTCCGAAAAACCCTAAACCCTATTCGGAAGGGCCATTAAAGTCCTACAAGGATGAATTAGAGTTCCAGTCTTGGGGCATGTTTTGCTGGCGTCTTCGGGTGGTAGGGTTTAAGGGCCCTCATGCTTATGAAGTCTTAATGATCCCAGACCCGGCATCTACAGCAACCCTCACTGTCGGCTTATTATCCGCTCTAGCTGCAAAACCTGAGCTTCTGTAGGCCGTATATGTCACCCTCAACTTTGAAGCCCAAAACTCAAAAGCCCATATATCCAAAAACTGCAAAACCCTAAACCCCAACCACGAAAAAGCTTACACCCCGAACCCTAAACTGCTATAGATCCCTTGTAAAAACCCGTATAGACCCCTTTAAGGGACCCCTCAGAGATGCCTTTATAGACGAACCCGAAGCCCCAAAGTCCTGAAGGATCTTGCGGAAGGACTCCAAAGAGTCGAAAAAGATCCTTCGGAAACCCGCTGCAGGCTTTCCGTGAGCTGGGAGACCGTACTTACTGGGAGCCCTTTAAGGCTCCTTAAAGAGATCCTTACAGGGATCTAGGGCATGGGGCTTTACGGGGCTCCTTAAAAGCATCCTTACAAAAACCTAGGTGAAAAAGGGCTCTATAGGAGCTTCGGTGAGGGTTTAGGGTTTCTGGACTCCAGGGTGTATAGTGTATAGGGCTTAGGGACTCCAGGTTGAAGGTGTCGGGTTTCGGGCTTCGGGACTCCAAGAGATAGGGCTTAGGGGTTTGGGGTTTAGGGTTTAGGGACTCCTAGAGATACAGCTCAAACTAAACTTAGGGTTTAGGGTTTAGGGTTTCGGAAGGACACTGAGAATGAGCAACGAGACCATCCACCGGCCCGAATTCTTCATCTAGAACCCCACAAGTGGGACCAGTAGTCTGCATGTTTGGGTTGATATGATTTATACTGGGATTCTAGCTATAAAGCTGTTGAACCACGATGGCGACTATAGGCAAGCCCCACTTGGCGGCTCAATGGGCGGAGCACTCAACAAGTTTAAGCAAGGTGAACTATACAACTTGGGAGGACCAGCCCTTTCGAGGTACTGACAACTTGTGATTGTACCTTAAACCTTAAACACAAAAGAGCCTGCTTTTCAAATCCCCTGATCCGCAAGCTTAAGCAGGCCATCCATGCTGCCATTGTGGACTTAACTCCAAAACCCATTCTTTGCGTGGCTTTCGGGACAAAGTCGATCCCTTGATGGTCGTATAGTAGATGTATCTGGACCTTCTGGAAATGTGGAAGAACAAGCTGTGGCACATCATCACCCGGATGCCCTCAAGGCAAAGTATGATAAGGAATTAAGCACTCATTGTTGTTAACCGATGCTACAACCCTCTAAATTCTCTGTAAACTTTAAAGAAGTCCCAGTGGCGTCGCATCAGCGACGGGTGCAGGGTGTCCGCCACGCCAAAGCTCACAGCGGCCGCTGCCCTTCTGATGAGCAGCATACAACGAGGACTTTGCTTTTTGGGCTTGATTCAAACCAAACAGGGTCCAAGTACTCCTTATTTATGGTTTTCGGTACCAAAAAGGGCTTAAATAATGGGCACTTCCACCCTTCGGGAAAGGGTACTGACGGGGACATGACTCACACCAGGTATAGGTCTTCAGGGGTTCAAGGTTTGCGGCTTCAGGCGTTTAGGGTTGGAGTCATTCGAGGGCTGAAGGAAGGATCGCACACGTTGCAGAACGGCTGCAACTGCTAATGAAAGACTTTACCAATGCTGACGGTTTAGGGTTTAAGTGTATAGGTTTGGGGGTATTTTTGGCCGCATTCTCATGATTATGCCCCGCACTTCCTAAAGGGCAAACTTTTCCATGCGCCGCGCCTGGGCAGCGGTGAAAAGAATTCCCGCAGAGTCTCCGATCTTTAGGAGCGCTCCTGGGCAAGTTGTGCAGCTTTACCGTTCCCCAACAGGGATCTATAATAGGGTTCGCCGAAAAGGTCTATAAGTGTTTTGGGTTCAGGATTTACGGCTGCAGGGGATTAAGGTCTAAGCTTTGGGTTTGGGGCTTTAGGGGTTTAGGGTTGAGGGTTGCGGGGATCAGGGTTTTGTTTCCCGAAACCCTAAACCCTTATACACCTTGCGAATGCGTTGGTGGTTTTTGTAACTGGACTGTCTGAGTACGCAAATAATCGCAGCCCCCAAGCCGCAATTCCTCTAAACCTGTAAACCCTATGAGTCCTACACCCATGGCAGGAAACCTAAAGACCCATTTGTTTAACCTTTGCTTTGTTACCAGCCACTATAGCCCCATAAACCCAACATCGGTTCACCCCGTTATGCAAACCTTCAAAACTCCCCCAAGCTCCTAGGTCCCTAACCTTTTGCAGACCCCTTAAACCCCAAACCCAAAACCCTTCCTAGACCTTCTACAACCGTCCCGGCTTCTCGTCGCGCACAAAGCGCCGGCACAGGTCCTGCCTCCATGCCGCATGACAAGATCCTTGGCCCCTGCCAAAAAGCCGGCCTGTCTCCTAATTATGCACCTGAGTTCACAGAAGCACCACCAGAACGAATCAATGTACACCGGACTTCCTGACAGCATTGTCGAGCGAGTTCTCGCAATCTCAGGAAGAGATTGCAGAATAGCAGAGCCGTCGCTGCGCACATGCCAGAAGTCTTCGAAGAAACGGATCCTGAGAAAACATTCGGCTTGAAGTATCGGGGGTTCGACGTCACGGCGCCGGCCATGGACCTCCTTTTGAACTCGGCAGAGGAGTTCGTCTAGCAGCGTCAAAGTCCGCGACAATCCCAAACCCCTAAACTTCCTAAGCCTGGCCCTACGGCTCCATGTTCCTATATATAGGTACATACTTTACTACACAGGTAGAGGGAGCCTTAGGGCTATAACTGTAATCTGAGGGGCGGAAGAAATAGTAACTGTTTCAGCTTGATGATGCAAGCCCTACTTTCAATCCATGAAACCCGAAATTTCTAAAGCTCTCGAACTCCAAGCGACCCTTACCCGAACATACCGAAAGTTTACAGTTTGGCTGGCCTGGCTGGCTTAAGGGATCACCGCCCTGCACTTGCACAGCTTTATTCAAGCATTTCAGAGTTCAAGGAGTTGCGGCTGGCTAAGGGCTTTAGGACGTTACTTTAAGGCTCCTGGCTCCTGGACCCTTGTAATGAGATCCCAAACCTTAGCCTTATTAAACCCCAAAGACTCTCGCCACGCAAGACACAATGCAAAATTCAAGCTGGGGCCGTTTCATGTGTCGGGTCTGCCTTCTGGACCCGCAGCGGGAAGCTTCCTGGGTCGTCTAGGTGGCCCTGCACATCGACGACCGCGTGCTTGCCAGTGTCCGCGTCAAGATAGACGTCGTACATGCGCCCAAGAGAATCCTCGGCTCGAAGCGGCAGTGAGGAAAAAAGGGCAGCACGAACAATGGGACATGATAATTAGATTCCCGAGCCCACCCAACGCGCCTTGACGCAGACATGCCCGCCCTTTCTGGCCAGCTCGTCCAGTTGAGCAGCCCAATCCTGGACGAGGTCCACGGCGCCAACCTCTTCGGCCGCACCCTGCAAGCACGAAGCGTGCAGGTCTCAAGCAAGAACAATGTGTGCACCCACCGCGCCAAGTCAAGCGCCGCCTGAGTGCCCTGGCCGCACGCCCGGACCAGGTCGCTCAGGAGACTTCGCGCCTCAGGGCCTGAGCAATGTGGAAACAGCCGCGGCAGTGCGCGGCTCGTGCAAGTATGACATGTAATTCCACAAGCAGCTCAGGCTCGAACGGCGACGCGCTGGAACACAGCATTCCCGCAGATGCAAGACCGCGAGCAAGCACGGCGTCAGACCTGTGCTGAATCGTGCCACACTCAACAACGAACGAGAAACGCTGCGACGGGCTTTCCTGGTCACGAATGCAATTGCACACCGAACCAAAGCCCCGGCGGAGCCTGGCGGACGCCGCTTCGAACTGGTGTCGCCACACACACAGAGGCCGAGAATGTCCGCGGCAATGCCGGCCTGTCAAAAGCACACCAAGACAACTGATAGAACCTCGCGGAGAACGGCAGCTCGGGATGAATCACCAGAGTCACCAGAAGAACCCAATCCAAACGTTGTGCGCGAGCTGCTGCGCCTGCCGCAGCTTTACACAACTCTGCGGCACGAGCATGTCGCTGTTGGTGAGCTTCTTGGTGATGGAGAGCATGCCCTTCACCTGCAAGCTACATTGCTACATCCAAAGAAAACACACACCTGCAACTCAAAGCCTGCAGACCAAGTCACAAGAAATGTTTCCTGGACCTCCCCGGAGAAGGGCAGGAAGGCGCGGATTTGCGCAGGGGCGTAGAAGAGGTCCCCCGGCTCGTACAGGCATGCTTCTAGACTCTATCAGATGCAAACCGCCGGACATGGACACCCCACCTCGATGCGCAGTCAACGCTAAGCAGCATGTTGCCATCAAGGCGGTCCACGCTTGCCTAGCACACGTGTCACACGCCTCCGTGCGATGAAATGCATGGTGACCAGCAAGCAAGGGAGGCTTTGTTCACGTACGCCACCTTGACGCCACGGACGTCGACCCATGTCTTGGTCGGCGTCGACAGCAGCGGCATCCGCACGTATGCCTGCGAAGTAGAGAATGAATCAAAGCTAACACCTACACCACCTATGGTCAGCCACGAAGTGGTCCCATCTCAAGCTGCTAAAGCTGAGGCTTCACTGCACCGTCACGACTGCTCCATCCTTCAGAATGGCAGCAAAAGCTGCCCTATGTCACAACCGACCCACTCTTCAAAATGGCACATGAGAAACTTCGCAACAATATCAACTTTCACGCGGAGATGCTGCGTATTTTTGAGCTCAGAGCCTGCGCAGTTCTACTGTCATCAGGTTACGACGGAGCCATCCACATCTGGTAGCAAAAACCTGAGCAGTGGGCTTGATGTGCTGCATGAGCTAACAAAGCCTGCAGAGCACTACTTTCATCAGGCTACGACGCAGCCATCCTCAAGAACGTCTAGCACCTTTGATGCTTTCACTTATTGCCTAACAGCCATATGGCCATATACGAGCTGCCCAAAAGCGTCGCTTTTCAGTCTGGACTGTCATCTGCGCTTGCCAAAACTGCCCGCTTCATGAACACGGCAGGTCACGTACACTGCCATTCAGCTCACATCGAAACCGAAACCAAAGGGGTCTTCTTCCTCAGCATCTGGATCTGCTAGAAGAGGGAGCGAGGGTGCCACTGGGATTGGATGCCGTGCATCTTCGTCGATGTCGACTCACTGCACGCGACGCTTGATGAACGTGTTCTTCCATCCGGGCCTCCACCGGGAAGAAGTCCACACTACGATAATTGGTGGTAAAAACTCTGATCGTCCGTGCCGGAATGAAAGCATCGTCGTTTCTGCAGTGAGTGAATCGAAGCTTCCGGACGTCATCCCAGCTTTTGACGTCGTCCACTTCGAGCCTGGAGCCGAAACCCGAAAGGTACATAGTCCTCCAGAGTTTCGGGCATTTGGGGATCAAGCCCTAAACCCTATAAAACCTAAACCCCTCAACCCTAAACCCTAAACATGGGATCCCAAGACCCTCTTGGGAGCCTTAGCTTAGAGATTTAAGCGCGCGCCTGACATCGGAGTGCTGTTGGGCTTGGAACTGCGAGGTCGGGGCTTCCAGCACACGAGCCCTACAAGGGCTATAAGGCTTTATTGTTCTAGGGTTCGGGGTTCAGGGTTTAGGGTTTAGGGTTTAGGGTTTGGGGTTCAGGGTTGAAAGTTTTGAGGGTTAGGGCCAGGGTTTGGGGTAGAAGCTTGCAGGCTGAGGCTTAGATAAGCAAATAACCTAGATCTCCGAACTCCAAACCCTACTTCACCCAAATAAAATACCCTAAGGGTCCATGTACCCATTATTTAGGGCCTGTGGGGGCCTCTTTGGGTACCTAAAACCATAAATAAGGACTATTTGGACCCTTAGGGAAATAGACACACCCTACTAGCACTAACACCACAACAAAATCCTGCATGGCTCAAGGCCTTGAAGCTTGGGCGCGTAGCACTAAATCCCTCGACAACCTCAAATAAACAAATGGGGGTTCCGAAAACAGGGGACCTTAATATAGTACCGTAAATTGTAGGATCCTTGTCATCAGGCCCCCAAAGAATATTTTCGGAAACTCCCAAATGCATCCATAATGAGGGATATTGCAGCTGCTGCGAAGGTTACAATCCCTTCCGTTTTTGCCACGCGTCTGCCACTAAGATCTGGTGGAAGCGCCGCACCTCATCGGAACAGAGTTACCATAAGGTTTTAGAAGGGATCTTCGGCATCATAGTCTAAGAAAATACGAGCATCCCGAACCAGTTTGGGCTCGCAGGACCAAGTTTTTCAACGGTACCGTTGATGGACACCACTCTTCTAGAAGCCCAGTTCCCTAAACTCCACAACCCTAAAACCCAAAACCGCAAACCCAAACCCCCAAAACCCAAAACCCCTAAGAGTTACCTACATAGCGAGCTCAGGACTTAGGACTTCTGATCGTGCATTGCTCAGGTTTTCGAGTTTAGGTGTTTGAGCTCTTGGGGCGGTTTGAGCTTAAGGCAACCGCCAGACGACTAGTGTACTATGGCATACTATGATACTATGGCTACACAGGGGCAGCAACCTGCTACAGAGGGAAAACCCTAAACCCTAAACCCTAAACTACTACATCCGAGTCAATCGGACCAGAAGTCGTCTGAATTCATCGGAGGTGTAAGTGATATGCTCTTGTTAGGGCTCAGGGTTTAGGATTTCCGGGCTAAGGGTTCAAAGATCTACAGCTATAGCCAAGGATGGCACCCCGACTAAGCCTTGTCGCGAAAAGGGCAAGGGCTACTTGGAGGATCATGGGACTTAGTAAGTAAGCTTATAAGTCCCCTAATGG